TGGGAGATTTTCTGAAGTGAGGGACAAATCAAGTGATCGCCTCAGGATTTGGCTCTAAGATGACAAGTTTATGACCCAGATGCTGAGCTGCAGGTGAGGCTTCACCTGTGTATCTGACCTCCCCCAATCCTTGGGATATGTGTTATTGTTAGAACAGTCTCTAGGTTAGTCGAAACTACAGCAGCTGTCCAGGATCCAAGTGGCTGCCCTGCAGCTGGGGATAACTAGGACATAGGAGGGACCCATATCCCATTTTTTCAACTGTACCAGCCACAGGCTGTACCTGAAACCAGGAGGGAGGGGGTAAAGAATTGGTGTGGATTACCGTGTACTGGGGGAATCTTGCAGGGACTGAGCTGGCTTTAGGGCTGCTTTGAGCCATTGACGCAATTCAAAGAAGCCTGATTGTCCTAGAGGATATGGACCCATGTTCGTAGTATATTTACAGTATTAATAATTTCATTCCTTATTTTGTTCAGGATCTCACACTGCACTTGTCAGTGCAGTAACTGGGTACCACTTTGTGTATTCTTTTACCTGCATTGTTGCGAGCCCTTCTCCAATCTGAAATCAAAATAAGAAACAAACATTGATTGAGATGATGCACCTACTGCTGATTTTTCTTCTTCTGGCTGAAGGACTCTTTCAGTCTGAGGGTAAGTGAAGATGTCAGACAACACATAGGACAATTTACTTGTGCAACATGCAAATTGCAGAAATTAAAATGCACAAAAATGGCACTTCAATGTTCACACACACATGACATAACCAATATGCATGTACTTTATGAGCACAGGAATTGCCAGACTGGATCAGAACTGGGGTCTATCTAGTCTACTATCCTGTCCCCAATAGTGGCTAGTGCCACCTGCTTCAAAGAAAGGTACATTTTCCATCCTTCCCTGTACAGAACACTGCTATATTGACTATGATCTAGTACATGATTACTAGAGAATGGTTTCTTTCATTAACTGCAAATGCATTTTTCTTACCTATTTCAGTTCTTAGTTTTTTCAGTTCTGAAAAGAAGACAGTAAAAAGATCAGAAAAGAATCAGTTTATACATGAGCTTTCTGGATCCAGTAAGGCCTTGTTTACACAGGGGAAAATCGCAACATAACTATATCCCACATGTGGTCTCTCTATTCCAAAATAAAAGTGATTTCATTCTAGAATAATTACTGCACTTCCACAGTAGAGTAATTATTCTGCAATAAAGTCACTTTTGTTTCAGAATAATGTCCACAGAGGGAGTTATTGTGGAATAGCTATAGTTGAATAGTTATTCTGCTATAGCTAGGTAGGACAATACCCAACATAGAAAAACCCTCAGAGCCATTGTTTTATCTCTTTTAAATGGAACAAGGCATTGAGGCCAAAGAAACTGTAGGATCTTAGACCACAAAGAGAACCTTCTCCCACAATGGAGACTCCCAACACAAACTGGATTTTCCCCAGAGGCTTTAATGATACTACAAGTTGGATGCTGTCCTTTAGCACACCATGTGAGCAACATGATTAGTAATTCCAACAAAACTACCGAACTAATACAAGTGTGTTTGTGTGTGTGTGTGCGCGCGCACACGCATACACTGATCACTTTTTAAACAATTACTACTAAAGCAGTATACTCACATTTGAAAACTGGCAACACAGACAAAATTTCTGTCTTTTAGGATTGACATTGTATAAAAAACACCACCACCACAGAACAATGCACATTTAAAGTTTCTTCTTCCCCTAAAGTGGCAGCTCTCTGCATTTGGGGCATAAAATATTCATGTGATGTCTCATCTGTTTTCTGTCCATTTGGCAAAGTGAGACTTGACCCTGATTGACACTTTGGTAGAAATATAGGAAACCTTACCTGATTCAAAATGCTTTTCAGTGTCTAAATGTAGGGAAGAAAACAGATAACATTTCTCAGTGATTAAATGCATGTTTCTTCCTTTTTCTGTACTACATCCTCACAGAAACACATGCACATATGCATGCATCCCAATCATGATCCCATGAAAGTTGGTAAACTCCTGTCGACTTTAATGGTAGCAGGATTGGGTCTGTCTGTGGATTCAAATAACCACAGGAATATTAGTCTTCAACACACAGTATACACCCCGCTTCTCTGATGTTATCTTGTTGCAATAAGAATCTTAAAAATAAATCTAACAAAATACAAACACACAAATATCACAGTTTCCTTGGGGAAGGGTGTATGTTATTGTGGCATAGGTGCTGGAGACAGTGGGGTACAAGAGATAATTGCCCCTCCTCCCTTTTTTAAGCAGGGCAGCCATGCCCACCCCCCTTTTTGAGAACATCAGTGCTTGGTTGTGGCTCAGCCGGGATGCCGAAGCCAGGGTTAGGCAGTAGAGCATGGAAGAGGAGCCTCCCCCAGCACCCCTCCCCCACACAGAGATATTTGGTTGCTTGATCCTCACACTTTTCCAGGCTTTCTGGCACCACTATATTATGGTGACTTAGAAATGGAAACGTGCTCGAAATCACAATATAAATGCCTAGGGAAGGTAGAGTAGACATACTTTTTAGCATCTTTTTTAACAGTTGCAGATACCCACTAAGCACAGTCTTGTAATCATGTCATTGGGAGTACTGAGTGTGCAATGACTCAGTAAGACCATGTTTAGATTAGGAAATGTATGTGAAGTTTTCAAAAGGTTAGTTCATACCTTTCAGTTAACAGGTTTTAAAGCATGCATTTGCACCTAGCAGACAGGGTTTAACACCTTTAAAGATGTGTTAGCATTGACCACAGCCTACTAATACATATTAAAACACAACCTGTGGTAGACATGCCCTAACAGGCAGATTAGAAATGTGATGCCTGAGGGATGGAGTTAGTGAGGTTGTTTACACAGACCTTAAAGTGAAACTTAGCACCATTTTGAGCAATTCTCCTGGTTTCTACCATATTCCCCATGGCAGAAAGTGGGAATCTCAAACCAACATTCGCTTTCCAAAAGGAAGAAACACAGTGAGTGTAACTGCTGTAGCTATTGTATAGGACCAGGAGTTATGGGTTCTATTCTCACCTCTGTCACAGGTTCTTGTGTCACCCTAGGCCAGTGTCTGAATATCAGTTTTCCTATCTCTAAAATGAAAAAAAAAATAATACTCTGTCTCACAGGGACACTAGGAAGCTTCATTTATTACATATTTAGAAAGTGTTTGGACCTCCTCATGTTGTGGCTGATTTTGATGGGATGAAATATCTTACTGGGAGAAGGGAAAAGAACTTATCTTTACCCAGCACTTAAATGGAAGGCTTTTTAGATGATGCTTGTTAGGAAGTAGGTGTGAAGTTTTGAGCTTAGCTGGCTTCTGATGGAGAGGAACTGAATTGTTCTCCACAATGAATTGTTCTCCACAG